GGGGGGGGGGGGTGAGGACCTCAGTGCATTCAAAAAGCAAACACCAGAAGTCATGTCCTGAGGGCATGGGAGGAGGGAAGGTTCAAGCTAGTACAGGTACCAATCCAAAACTGGGCCACGGGATTTAAGGAAGCTAAGTAGGAAGTGAAAGTCATGATACAGCCAAAGACGTAAGACGACCACAATAAGCAGATGAACAGAGTGTGAAAAGGGGGAGAAAGAAACCTGAAGAATTCATGAGCTCCCAGAAGGGAGCGGAAATAACTCACGTATGGTCCTTTAACCATCACTGTCCCCAGGGCCCAGGGCAGTACCGGCAGACACTGGTGTCCACTGCCTACTTGTTAAAGGAGGTCTACAGACTCAGGGCCTCACCAGGAGGAAATACCCAGACTACTCCGTGGCTCCCTTTGCTTTTCCATTTCTGAGACTCCAGGTTATCTTGGAAAGGGCAGGGCAGGGGCAGAGGAGCCCCACCCTTTAGAACAGGGGTCAAAGCTTTTCCTTAAAAGGTCAGTAGTAACCCTTCACTCCATTCTCCTGTAGTACAGCTGCTCCATAGATATGACAGAAGTGAATGCATGTGACTGTGTTACAATAAAACTTTATAGAAACTGGCTGCCGTGGGCTGAGTTCGCTGAGCCCTGCTTTGGAACAACAGTCTGCAAGCAGTTATTGATCCTCATTTCTTCTGAAGCTGCCTGCCTGTCTGCATCACTTACACGGCAGAACAGGTATGAAGGCTGGAGATGAACACCTGTGTCTTGCCTTGGTATCTCTTCATTTTGGTTCCTTTTGAACATATAAGGGGCTAACAGGAAAACATGCGATAATAGAGGGCAAGCATTTTTCCAGGGAAAAGGTTTTTTTTTTAAAGACCTTATTAGATGTAAGAAAAGATGTTCAGACAAGGTTGCTGTTACTCAGGAATTTTTTTGTTTAAAGAGAAGTAAAAACGGGGGAAAAAAAGAAGGGAAGACTAAATAGAAGCACATTTTCAACTGGTGACTGATTTTTACCTTCTGAACCAAGTAGACACTTGTAGCTCTCTGAGCAGCCACTTGATCCAATTCAGAGCCCTCGGGAACAAAGTAACTGACGTCAGCGATGTGAACTCCCACTTCATAGATGTCACCTGTTGAGGCACAAGAAGGTCCATCAGCCTGGTCTGGAAGGCAATGGCGATCCCTCCCGGAGCTCTTCCCAAGAAGTCACTCTCAGAGACCACAGGCGGCCCTTCCGGGTTTCGATGGGCACTCCATCTACCCCCGTAACTTCACTGTTGTTACTTGATGACATTTTTTACAACAGTAACCAACTTCACAAAGTGTTTCCCAGTTCTAAAGGCTTCCTGTCTTTGAGGAAACATCAGCAGTCTTGCAAAAGACGAATTATGCTGGATGACGAACAATCCTTTTAGGTCACTAGAAGCAAGCTGCTCCCCAAACCCTGCCTCTGAAAGCTCTAGCTTCCTGTCCGTCTGGCCACAGCCTGCATTCAGCCCTACAGCTGCCTTCGCCTTGACTCAAGTGCCTCCCACCCAGCCTTCCATACTGTGGCTAGTCATCTTCTCAACCATGGACCTGGTGATGCCACGCCCGAGCCCGCTACTCAGGTCCTTGCATGGCCTCACTGATCGGCCACGCAGCCTTATGACCCCATCCTCCACACGCTCTGCACGCGGCGGTCATAGGAACCTCTGTCCATCCCCAGAATGTGTCTTACTTCATCCCACTCATGCTGGCTTGGCTCGTGCTTTTTCTTACATTTGGGATAACCTCAATAGGACTTGCCTATTAAAATCCTTCTTACCATATAAGGGCCAACTGAAGAGAATCCCAGAACAAGAAGAGATTCTCCGCCCTGTTAAAGCACCTAATCCAGAACTGGAGGCGCTCGCCATGGCCTTTCTTCAAAGGTCTCATCACTACCAGGCATCGCAGCATCTCTGCACTGAGGTACTGCAATGTCTGTCTCTCTCCCTACAGGGTAAGCTCCGGCAAGGTAGTGCCTTTTGTGTACAGTTCACTGTGGTAGGCCCACTGCCGGAAGAATGCCTGACACATAGTGGGCACTCAATAACGCCTGTTGGGTGAGTAAATCAATAGTTGGTTTGCCTGTTGCTTTTTCCCTTCTGGAAAAAGACCCTACTTGTTTCCTTTTTGGAACTGCCTCCTCCCTTGCTGCTGGAGCTGTTTCCAATGGGCCCTGCCTTCCCTATCAGTTCCACTAGAGATGGTCAGGTGATTTGGGCCAATGGAACTGCACCTAAAGCTGGGCTGGGGGCCAGGGAGGTTATACACTTAAGATTTACTCTTGAACTTCCTATACTTGTAATATCATCTATCAAATAGTACATGTAATTATACACACACATATACACTTCTCTCTCTCTATATATATATATGAACATGCACAAAATGAAGAGAACATGAAAAAAGGGTACACATGTAAAATAAGTGTGTAGAAGAGGGCATCATGGGCAGACAGAAGCATGTTGATATGAGCACAAAGGTGAATTTGCTTAAATTTAAACATATGTTTGACGTAATTCTATTAGAACCCATCCCTGTTCAGTTACTGGTCTAGGCACAGGCATGTGGCTCAAGTTCATCTATTCTGAGTCTGTTTTCAGGCACTGATATGGACTTCAGGAAAAGGGTCTCTCTAAGGATTCCAGAGGCAGTAAGGACCACTGAAAGTCTGGAACTGCCAGGAAACATCTTTGCCACATAATCATGCTGATATAATAAACAACAGGTCTAAGAAATAAAGGGAGATATCACGATGACCTCATTTGAACTCCAGGATCCAGCTGAACTTGTAACTAGCCTACCTGTGGACTTGGCAGTTCATGAGTCAATCAGTTTCCTTTGGGCCTTGACGACTCACTGAATGGATCCTGCCTGATGCCCAAGCTGACTCAGAGAGTTTGCTAACATCGCGCCACTTGCGCCTCTGGTTACCTGCGTAGTCTACCCTAAGGTACCACATCTACCTGCAAATCTTGTAGCTATTTGTTGTCCTCCTAGCCCTTCTTCACTGGGGGGTGATTCTTCCTCAGTTTTTAAAATGGAAAAATGTTTAAATATGAGGTAGTTAAAATAAGGGGTTCAGGGGAGGAAAAGCATTTAAGATTCCCCATTCTTCTGCCTCACACTCCGAGACCACCCTCCCACTAGGCACTCACTGGACTCTCCCGGCCAGTCTGTAACATTAATGCATTAGGGAAAAGCTAAGTCCATCTAAGAGATCCTGGCTGCTGTGGGATAACAGACCAGTCTCCTACAGAGGAGAGGGGGCTGTCTGGAAGGCTGAGAGAAAGCAGTGTGGCTCAGAGTTCAGGCCTCCTTCTGAGAGCCACGCAGCTGTGTTGTTGGGCCACGGGGAACAGTGAAGCCTGCCCTGCGATGATCGAGGAACTCAACCCCACGAGAACATGGCCAAGAGTTTCAGACGCCTCAACTTCCCATTTTGATATTACAAGTATCTAAAACCAACACTTGAAGAAGGTAAAATAAAGTGTCGTCTTTTGAAGTCAGAATTATAATATATTGGCCTCACAGGTAAATATTGACTAAAGGAAAAGAGAGGATTATTACATCATGATATAAACCATAACTTTAACTTTAGTCTGTGTGTTGTTACTACACATGAACTTTCTGTCCTTAGTTAAAATTGACAAACTGATAAAGAGTTCATTACAGGAGATAAAACATGAAGGAAGCCAATCAAAACATATTTGAGAGGCTTAAATTTCACTCCGAATTCCCAGCAGAGCCTCTAAAACCAGCAGAGAAGCTGTCTTATTCTCTCCTTTGGACATTTTTTATGGAAACCCTAAGTAAACACTTTATTACACATATTTACATAATGTGAATTTGCAGAACTCTTGAGGTAGTTATACCGTAGTTTTTATTCTATGAAAGAGAAAATATAAATCCAAAAGCTTATATAATATATGCCACCAAAACATTTAGGACAAATTTGATGTTTTAAAAAATACCATCTTCCAGATGAAAGTATTCTTTACATTAAAACATTTTCAACTTGTGGGGCCAAGGTGAGTCCTGTGAGCTCTGAAGAGCTTTGGAAGCAGGGGGAGGAGTCCCCAAGGCCAGCCATAGCTGCTAACCCTGCTTGGGGTCCATCTGAGAGCACTTCAGAACTGCTTCATGGAATTAAAACACTAACAACCTAAAGCAGGGTCTCTGCCAGGTGGCCCCTGGGGGTGGAGCTCACATTTTGAAGCCACTGCCCTACTTCTGAACCTCTCTGGTGGCGAGAAAGCAATGCCTTACACAGACCGTGACCATGACACTCAGAAACAGAGCCCTACTGTGTTTCAGGGCAGGACCTCCATAAGAGGCAATCCCTTCGTTAAAGGGCTCACAGCCTAACAGGGTTGGCAGATACACCAATGTGGTGACAATATAATGTCACTAGTGCTATGAAAGAAGAAGGCTGCAAAACCTCACTGCATGGGAGCAAGCTGAGCTGGAATATGTTTTTACTTCAGTGAGAACATGTAAAGTGTTTTATAATTTATAATGACATAATGTTGACAACGATGATCACAACAATGATAACAAGGACAGCAGCAGTGACCATTTGTTTACTGTCTCCTTCGTAGCTTTGGCAACAGCCATGTGAGCCATATTTCACAGACGAATCATCTGAGGTTCAGGGAGGTTCCAAGTCCTTGTCCAAGTTTACCTGGCTGGTAAGTAATGAACCCTGGATTCAAAACCAGGCCAGACTCTGAGCCTTAGCTCCTTTTATTACCACCTCTCACCCTGCCACTGTCACTATCACTCCAGGACATGACCCAACCCAATTTTTCGTCTCAGTGGACCACAGCTGGAAATACTTCCCTCTCTCTTATGATTCCATAGAAGCCACATTCTTGCTGTGGACTCAGAAGTTTGGTCAGGGACTTTTCCCAGCCTTGTTCACAGCCACATCCCGGAGGCTCTTTTGGTTCCCAATATGATCTCCTTGGCCACTTGTAGCAGGACCTGATTCTAGAGCAACCACTAAGCAATCAACTCTAGTTCTACTTAATTATAAGCCCTTGAGATCCAACAAACCCATTCTAAATTTCTAGCTTACAGTCATCTTTAGTGGTGGCAGGGTAACTGTGGGAATACAAGTGGGAATACCAGGCTCCCCCTGCCTTGCCAGGAGTGAGACCAGGGCCTTCCACACCCGAGTCACTTAATCTCACCTTTACCCACTGCTGAGACTGGACGGTGGTGACAGAGGCTCTTCTTGAGGACACTCCAGTAGGACACTCCTTTTAATCCAGAGTGTAGGGGAACAATGCTGCTAAGTGTATTTCACCAGCAAAAATAACTGCATTTGTCCAGATCACTAATGGCCTTTGTGTCACTAAATTCAAACCTTTTCAGGCCTGACTAGGCCTGACCTTAGAGAGCACCTGAGGCCTGGTGATTTCTCCCTCATGGAGACCCTCTTCCTTTGGCTACAGGCCCCACTCTGGGTGTCCAACATGGCAGCTGCTCCTTCTCAGGCTCCTCTTCCTTTCGTGTCCCTTCCGTGTATACCTGCCTCCAAGCTCTGCCCGGGGCCGCCTTCTCCTCCCATTCTGCTCTCTCCCTGGACAGTCTCATCCACTCCCAGAGTTCAAGCTTCATCTCTGTGCTTCTATCCCCTCATCCTGTGCCACCAGCCCAGATGTCTCAGAGCTCCAGACTGACATACACAAGGGTCTGCTGGGAACTGCCACTTAGCTGTCCCACAGGCACATCACACTCATACCTCCAAAAGTCCCCACCCCCAGGACCTTTTCTTTTCCTGTGTTCTCCACCCAGAAAGTGCTATCACCTCCACTGAAGCATCGCTGCCCGAACCTAGAGGAAGCCTGGGCTGCCTCCACCCACATCCACCAAGCGCTCTGAATTCTACCTCTCAACGCCTCTCAAGTCTGCCCTCTCTCCTCTGCACACCACCCCTACCTTGTCTAGGCCACCATCGTTTCTCTGAAGGAACATCAACCTCTTCGTGGCTCTCCTACCAGTTCTCAAACCCACTCTCCACAGTGAAGACAGTACTCTTTCCAACACAAATCTCCGCCACCCTCCAGTATAAGCCTGCAGTCCCCATACCTGGTCC